ATATTGTAAACATACAAATCTATGATGTTTACAGTATGAATGGCCTTTCTTAGATATGGTACTGTTGTACATTGAATAATCTGCATAAAAATAAACAGTAACCTTTCTTAAGAGCCATTTCCCTTATCCTTTAAGATTCTGCTTTGTGTAAAATGGGAATGATTACTATTACATGGTAAGAAATGATGTAATACATCTCCCTGTTTAGAAGTTACTATATCCAGTTATTAATATGTTAGCCAAAGTGTATTTAAAATTTGTATCGAAGTCAATTCGGTTTTTTAATTTAAATTTATGGCTGCTCCTGTTACACCATTTTATTAAGAATACAATACTTGTGTATAGCAGGTCATTGAATAATATTAAATATTAACCTTGGATTTACACAGTGCTCTTAAACTTAGATGTTTTTAAAGGTGAGTTTTTAATCTTTATTAAAAAACATCCTCTATGGTTAAAGGTAGTTTGGAATAAATTTTTCAAAATATTTAGTTTAGTAATTCATAACATTTCAAAGAGGTGTCTGTCCATTGTGTTCATTTGTTAATTTTGTAAATTTAATAGTTTATATTGTAAATATACTTGTTCAGTGTGAATTTAGATGTATAATGCATAACCATATATTTACTAGGTCCTGTATCCTTACTAGGATACTCTTTCAAATGTAAGAGAAAAACAAATACAAGTAATACATAGTCTAAGTCAGTTAAGCTACTCCTATGTACTAGACGATGTATTAAATGCCTTAAATTAATTACTTGTTCGTTGTTATAACCCTAGAGCAAATACAAATATAATAATGAATATTTTATTTTGTTCCTTCTGTGGGCCAGTCTCTGTTATAAGCTCTTTATTTGGGTTAATGTATTCTTCACAGCAACCTGATCTGTTAAGATACAGGTACTGTTATTCTTATGTTAGAGGTAAAGGTGAAGAAATTTTTGTAGGGTCACACAGCTAATATGAGGTAGATAGAGCTGGGGATCAGTCCCTGGCAGTCTTCGGGCCTGCATGCTTAACCACTATACTGTTTCTAGTTGTAGGAAGACACTGTGGAATAAATGCTGTTGTCACTTTAGACATGGAAAACTGAAGCTTAGAGATGTTAAGCAACATAACCAAGGTCCTACAATACAAATGCAGTGATAACAAAGTTTGAAATTCTATATCTATCTGATTTTAAAAAGGGGAAATTACTTCTATCTAGGAGGATCAAGCAAGCTTAATTCGAAGATGGAGTTTGATCTGGGCCTTGAATGCGTAATGCATCAGCATGAATGTGGGAAACTGGTGCCTGCTGGAAAACACTGAGCAGGCAGGTTCAGTAGAAGTAAGCAGGGATTTAATAATGGCAGACATAAAGCTGGGAAGGTTGGTGGGCTAGATCCTGGGGGACTTTGGTACCCTAAGGAACCAAAAGGGCTAAGGAAGTAAGATTTTGTGTAGAATGTGGCAGGAAATCCTAAACCATTCGCTTGGTTTCTTTTGGTATTGTCTCCAGTCAGTATTTTTGAAAATATATTATAATGCTCATGCCTTTAAAAAAGAAAAAAATTTTGCATCTAGCATTAACACTTGAAAAATAATCAGTCTGTTGATTCAAGTAAAAAATGCAGGCTTCCTGACCTTCACTTAATTTCCCATTATACCCCAAGCTCCTTCAGACCAAGAATTATACAGTGGTTAATTTGATACAGAGAAATCAGAGTAATGGGTTACTGAAGTTTTATAGGTGGCAAGGAGGGGTCAGTGGGTTAACTTAATTAAAATTCAAATAATAGCACTCTGCTTTGTGGCATCAGATTAGTTCTAAAGAAGATTAAACTAGTTTAACATTTGAAGTAAAGTTGAAATAATTAATAATGTCTTTTTTTAAAAGATTATATTTATTTATTTATTTTTAGAGAGAGAGAGAGGAAGGGAGCGAGAAAGAGAGGGAGAGAAACATCGATGTGTCAGATACGTTGATAGGTTGCCTTTTGCCCACCCCCAACTATGGCCTGCAACCCTGGCTTGCATGTATCCTGACTAGGAATCAAACCAGTAACATTTTGGTTCACAGGCTGGCTGTCACTCAGTCCACTGAGCCACACCAGCCAGGGCTATAATGTCTTAAAAAGCACAGCTTACAATGGGAATGTGGGTTTGTAAAGATATATTTGGTATTCTCCCTGAAGAACAAATCCCTGAATTTGTTAGTATTTAGGGCATCTTTACTGAGGGCAGTCTAGTTTATCATAATTGTTAAAAGTTGACAAGAACTGATTAACTAAATATAGTTCACTTACTGTGTTTTTCACTATCTCTATTTCATCATTGGCTCAGAAAACAAAAATATGCCTTTAAGGTCTCAGTCAACATTTAGGACTATACAATATAATTTTAAATACCATGAGCCAAAAGGAAATTTTATGCCTTGTTTTTCCCAATTATAGAAAGCATTTAAAGAGTAAATTTACTTGTAAAACTTTTTTTAAATGTGGAAAAAAGAAATTAAACATTTTTTTTATTTTATTGATTATGCCATTACAGTCCTTACATTACCCCCCCTTCATTCCCCTCCACCCTGCACACCATCCCCCCCTTTAGTTTATGACCACATGTCTCAAGTTCTTTAGATTCTATATTTCCCCTACTATTCTTACCCTCCTCCCTATCTATTTTCTACCTACCATCTATGCTACTTATTTTCTGTACCTTCTCCTCCTCCCACTCCCCTGTTGCTAACCCTCCTTGAGATCTTCATTTCTATGGTTCACTCCTGATCTAGCTGTCCTCTTAGTTTGCTTTTGTTTTAGGTGTGGTTGTTAATAACTGTGAGTTTGCTGTCCTTTCACTGTTTATCTTTTTTGTCTTCTTTTTCTTAGATAAGTCCCTTTAACATTTCATATAATAAGGGCTTGGTGATGATGAACTCCTTGAGTTTGACCTTATCTGAGAAGCACTTTATCTGCCCATCCATTCTAAATGAAAGCTTTTCTGGATAGATCAATCTTGGATGTAGGTCTTTGGATTTCATGACCTGGAATACTTCTTTCCAGCCCCTTCTTGCTAGTAAGGTCTCTTTTGAGAAATCAGCTGACAGTCTAATGGGAACTCCTTTATAGATAGCTCTCTCCTTTTGTCTTGCTACTTCTAGGATTCTCTCCTTATCTTTAATCTTGGGTAATGTAATTATGTTGGGCCTTGGTGTGTTCCTCTTTGGGTCTAACTTCTTTGGGATTCCCTGGACTTCCTGGAAGTCTATTTCCTTTGCCAGATTGGGGAAGTTCTCCTTCATTATTTGTTCCAATAAGTTTTTCACTTGTTGCTCTTTTTCTTCCCCTTCTGGTACCCCTATAATTTGGATGTTGGAATGTTTAAAGATGTCCTGGAGGTTCCTAAGCCTGTCCTCATTTTTTTGAATTCTTGTGTCTTCATCCTTTTCTGTTTGGTCATTTTTTTCTTCTTTCTGGTCCACTCCTTTGATTTGAGTCCCAGTTTCCTTTCCATCACTATTGGTGTCCTGTGCATTTCCCTTCATTTCAATTAGTTTAGCCTTCATGTGTTTCTCTAATTTGTGGCTAAAATCAACCAGTTCTGTGAACATCCTGATCACCAGTGTTTTGAACTGTGCCTCTGATAGGTTCGCAATTTCTCGTTTGCTTAGATTTATGGGCTCTGGGGCTCTGAGTTCTTCTTGAGCCATGTTTTGATGTGTTCCTGCCTGTTACGTTTGAGGAGAGGAGCCTTAGGTGCTCACCAGGGCGGGACCACCCAGATCGCTGGTTTGTGATGCTGTATGTGGGGGCGGGGTCAGAGAGGGCGCAATGGTGGTCCTCTCCCTCCCTCCCGCTGTCCCGCCGCTGGGGCCGCCTCACCGCTCACCCCCCTGCCGGTTTATCTGCGCACAAATGTGTGACAGCAGTCAGCTCACAGCCCTGTGTCGGGCCTGTGTGGTCTGTCTCAATGCTCACTCCTTTGCTGGTTTATATGTGCACAAATGTGTGACCGTGGTCAGCCAGGCCCCCCCCCCCCCCCCCCCCGACCTGCTGCACCTTCACTGGGTTTGCCCATGCTACCCCACACCTGGGATTTGCCTTTGGCTGCCTGGGTTGGGGGATCTTTTTTGCCCAACGTGCTCTGATGCTGGCTCCGCCCCTCTCACCGGTTTAGCTGAGCAGTTCGTTGTTGTCGTCGGACTCTGTATTCAATATTCTGTGGCTTGGCTGGGTTTATTGTTGCTAAAACTTTGTTGTTTTTGGATTTGGTTGTGCGAGAAGGCAAGTGTTTCCTCCTATGCCTCCATCTTGGCGGAAGTCCTCTAAATGTGGAAAAAAGAATTTTTTATTAACATGTCTTCTATCCTTATAATTGTCCTTTATCCCAGTTTTTTTGCCACAATACTTGAAATGTTTTAATGGTGTTTCCTATTAAGTTTTATTTTTCAAGAAAAATTTGTTGGCTGAATATAAGTGCTGAATTTCATAAGTTGTTTCCACCAGTATTTCTTGGCAGTTTGAGTGTCTTTGCTAAAAATAGTTTCTGTTGGAATATTGAACAAAAGAACTTATCTATTCTTTCATCCTATCCTCCTGAAATTTAGAACATGTATTTTCTGTTCTTTGAGAAAGTGATTGACTTAATGATGTTTGACTTTCTATGAGTGGCATAGAAAAAGTGTTTTCTTACTAAAATTATATGTTCTTACATTGGACCTTTTTTTCCTCACAGGAAGTGCTTTGGTTTTTTAAAACTGAGTCAGGAAGAAAGGGAAAAATGAAGGAGGCTTGTGACTTGAAATGTTTCTTAAGTTTTAACTAATTTCTAATCTCATATTAAGAATGTTAATAAAATATTTTGTCATAGCCATCCTGATAATTGCTATGCAACTAAAAATTAGGTAAAATTATTAGAAAACAATAATCTCCTAAAAAATCCACAAAAACTTAAAATGCCATATGTAGAGGATAAGTTATGTTCTGTCATTCTTTCATGTTTTCATATTTTCATTTCCCTAGCACTAGAAAGTTTGGGCTTTGGCTCTTATATTAGTGAAGTAAAAGAAGTTTTACAAGAATGCAAGACTGTAGCATTAAAAAGAAGAAAGGCCAGTTCTCGTTTGGAAAACCTTGGCATTCCTGAAGAAGAGTTATTGAGGCAGCAACAGGAATTATTTGCAAAAGTAAGTGATGCATTTTAAATTATTTTCATCTGAATCTTACCCTGTTTGCTAATAGAAATAAAACTGGTTTCTTAAATAATTTCCTAAAGCAATATAGCCCAGAAGGTTTTTTTCCTGTGGTTGATTATTTGATCACAGAGTCTGATGTTTAGAGATGGCCAGTTTGACTCTATTAAGCCAGTTATTTACTTCATGTAAAAAAAAAGTAAGTATTTGTAGCAACCTGTTTTCTAAGGAGAATGACTCTAAATAACTACTGAGATTTTACTTTGATATTTTTTCCAGACAGAATGGTTATTTACAACCATTTTACAAGAATGAAAAGGTTATTTGAAAAGGTTATTTCAAGAATGAAATGGTTATTTACAAGAATGAAAAGTAAAACTAAATATTCTTAAGATTTAAAATGATGGGTTGGTAATAGGATAGGAAATGGAGAAGCCTAAGAACTCGTATGTATGACACATGAACTAAGGTGGGGGGATGCTGGTGGGAGGTGAGGTGCAGGGCAGAGGGGAATAAAAGGGAGAGAATGGAACACTGTAATAGCATAACAATAGAATATACTTTAAAAAAGAAAATGATGGGTTGGTGAGAAAATACTCTCAAAATTTATGATGAGTGGAATATAAGGAAAATCTGATTACCATCTACCTTACATCTACCATGTACTTAACTTAGGTCTTTAATACACCTTTAAAACACTCTAATCTTAAAATATTTTCAAAGGGCCAGTGGAGCCGAGAAAGGGAGAAAACTTTTACTTACTTTATATAGTTCTGTCAAGGATTAGTACCAAAGTACTGATATTCCCCCTATTTAAAAAAAACAAAACAAAACCAGGGAAGAAAGTGAGGCTGTTGTTTTTCCTTACTAAGATCTGGCCTCTCATTCAAAATTGAAAGACAGTTTTGGGTTAAATAGAAATACAATCTCCTACAAATTACTGTAAGTTACTATTAGAACTGGGAAGTGCCATTTTAGGTAATCTATCCCAGATTAGCACCAAAATAAGAAAATAAAAGCTTACTAACATTTATTGAGTTCTAACCATACGTTAATTATGTTACCAAGTAATTTAGCTATTGTTTTATTTAATCCTCACAACAAGCTATGAGATAACCTATAAATGTATGTAGTAAAGTTTATAAGTCTTCGGGGCAGTTGGAACACATGTAAACAGTGTTATAACCCATATGAATATAAATAGCAAAGAAGGAGCAATGATTTTTTTAAACCCTTAATGAGTATCATTTATTAATTCTTTACTATTGCACATCACTTAGAGGGTAGTAAATTAAATATTTGATGAAAGGAAAAAGATGCTCTGTTAGATACTTAACATATTTGCAGAGTTTTGTTGTTTTTTTTAATTCTTACCCAAGGATATGTTTGTTTATTTATTTTGTTTTTCAGAGTGAGAGGAAGGTGGTGGGAAGAGGGGGATGAGGGGAGGAAAGGGACAGACAGACAGAGAGACAGACAGACATCAACTGGTTGCCTACTGTATGTGTCCTGACTGGGGATTAAACCTGCAACCTTTTGGTGCTCAGGACAACACCAATTGAGCCACCTGGTCAGGGCACTTTGTAGAGTTTTTATGTATAAATTTTATTATATCCATTTATACATTAAGAAACAGACTCAGAGACGGAGAAACTTGCTTGAGATTATTCATTCATTTGTTCTACAGATATTTATATAAAGTACTCACCATTTACCAGGCACAGCGCTAAGTGCAAGGATTACAGCATCATACAAAAGAGAGATAGTTCCTGCCATTTACTAGGAAGGATAGAGTTAAATAAACTGGGGAAGTTCATACAGTTAGAAAGTGTTAGAGTCTTGATTCAAACTCTTATTTTCTAACTCCAAAACTTGTGCTCTTTCTATAATACCATGCTAACGCTCTAGCCACCATTGTATCTACTTAAATTTATTTTGGAATTTTTAAGTGGATCATGCTTTATCCTTTCCAAGGCAAAAAGATGAATGAAGGAAATAATTGACTGCCTGATAAATTTATCTTTATTCTTTCTCCTTATCATCTGCTTTTTATTTCCCCTTCCTTGGGACCCTTTTTTCTTGTCCTGATCTGTGTGTGAAGATTCTTTGGTCTAGTGAAGAAAATTAGCAGAAGTAAAAATTTTAGCTGCCTAGTACTTCTTCCCTAGAGCACAAAGTATTTAAGTCCTAAATCTGAAAGGAACTAACAAGTAAATACAGCATCTTTTCATCACTTTTATTTCATGTCTTCTTTAGACTTTATTTTAAATACATAATAGTAGCTTTATTTGAGGCTGTCTTTCACTGCTAGCAGCAATTATTTGGAAAGGGGAAAACATTAAAAATCAAGGTAGAAGTTAACTATAAATTATAAATGAGGCATTTTAGTGTGTGAAAGTGAGAATCTTAAAAGAATAAAAACTTCCAGCAGAAGAAATGAATTAGGAAGTACATGCCTGTTTACACATTTCACACTCCAGTTTCAGAAAGAAAATACTTGAGATGGATTGGGTAAGAAGCAGGAGGGGAAAAGGAAATTGGAATTAATACTATTGAAAATTTTAATTTGTGGAAATGAATACAAATAAAATTTATGAATTAACAATGATTTTGAGGGCATAGGAGTACTTTCATTTTTGGAGAGAAAAGTATGGAAGATGATATGGGGCCATGGTACCTAAAAGTCAGTTAAATTTTAAGTAAAACCAGCACATGCCTTTGCAGATCATTGAATAAGCTGCGAGATTATGCACCTTTGCAATAAAACCTATGGAGAGACTTTATGTTATTTGAGTTATTTCTGCACTACGAAATTATATATATTTATAATCGATTAGGTCCACAGAATAGGTATTCTTAAGTTGATAAATTCATATTATTTATTTTGCCCTACAAATTTCTTATGAACTCTTAAAATATTTTTTGTGAAGCACTCTTAGTCTATTTTGAACTCTGGGCATTCCTGTCATAAAAGTAAATATGCCTGTGTGTTAGAATAACTATTTTCCATATTTCTTCATAAAAATGGGAAAAGTAGTTATTAGAGACAGTGTCTGGTTTGTAATTTCTTAAACAAAAGAAGTTTTTCTGGGGGAGGTATAGTTCAGGTACACTAACAAACTGTAATATGAGGCTGACTGCTTACTTTCATGAGGAAGATATAAAAAGAACCCAAGTACAAAGGTATCATACTCAATTTTGATGGTTATAGGTGTGTGCCAGTTACTAAGTCATTGTCTCAGCCTGAAACCCACTTTTCTATGCTCCACCTTGTGACAGGGCCCAGTACTCCCCAAACCACATTTTCTCCTTTCCAGCTGAAAATTGTTAGACTCTAATGCCAGTAGTGGGGCTCTTAGAGGGAGATTGCCAGGCTGGAAGAGGAAGGCAGCACTTGGATTCCTTTTACTTCCTGTTAATTTTGAGTTCCTTTGAGCAAGCTAGCTAATCCTGGCTGCATTAGTTTTTTCCTGCAGGAGGAATTGAATCTAGTTTGCAGTTTCTCTATTACATTCAGAACCAGCCTGAACATTCATCTCCTTCTTCAAGGATGTGACTCTCAAACATTGGGACTCTCCTCCAAGCTCAGAGATTCTAGTACTAGTCAATCTATGCCCCTTTTCAGAGGTCTGAATTTTAGTTCCATGGGTTGCTCCTCTAAGCTCCTCAGTTTTAGAAATTCCAGGCTTTTCCCCTTGTTTCCTCTGTTTGAGGGTTGGTGGCTGCCACCCTCTCTGTAGTTGCCACCTGTGTGATACGGCAGTGGGTTTTTTTCCTTGCCTTTTCACTTACCTAGTTAACAACTTTGTACTTGGTTAAGAAATACTATATTTTTTCTGTTTTCCTACCTAGTGTTACTTCTACCTCCTGATTAGACTACCTGAATGTTACTGTGAGGAATCAGGAAAAAACTTAATGGAAAAATAATGTTTTGGTTTGATCTGAAGAAAGAGTGGAATTTTATTTAGTAAGCGAAAACCAGGAAATTTCAAATAGAATGAATATCAGCATGAGTGAAGGTAGCAAAAATGTGAGGGATAGTGTATGTTTGGGAAACATTTTTTGTTCTAGATTTTTCTTTTTTAGTACAAGGTACATGGCACAAAAAAAATATTAGAGCAATAGATTAGAGTAGGCAGTAATTTGGAGTACCTCGAACTACAGGCTGAGAAATTTAGACTTAAATGGTAAGAATTACCGGTAAATGATTTTTAAAAGTACCATATTTTCCGGACCATAAGATGCACCTAGGTTTTACAGGTTTATTTTAAAAAATATTTTACTTATTTATTTTTAGATAGAGGGAAAGGGGAGAAGAAAGAGAGGGAGAGAAACATCAATGTGCAGTTGCCTCTCCTGTGCCCTCCACTGGGGGTCTGACCTGGCTGGCCTGCAACCCAGGCATGTGCCCTGACTGGAAATCGAATAGGTGACCCCTTGGTTTGCAGCCTGGCACTCAATCCACTGAGCATGCCAGCCAGGTCAAGATGCCCCTAGGTTTTAGAGGGGGAAAATAAAAATGTGGTAAAATATTTGCTAACATAAATAACATAATTCACCAATGTAAGTGTAAACAGAACTCAACAGCAGCATTACCAACCATTATTCCTCCCAAATTTGGGAGGGGGGAGTGCATCTTACAGTCCAAAAAATAGGGTATAATGATGATCTGATTAGAATTTTCCTCTAAGAATATTTAGATAATAAATTCATGACAGATTATTAAGAAAAGTTAGGCGTGTAGAGCTTATGTTGTGCATCATGGTTTTTTCACGAACCATTCACTAAGAAAATACTGGGGGCCTGTGTGTTGGGAGTCCAATAATGAATGTGAAAACAGTTTCTGTTCTTAAGTCTAGTGGATAAAAAAGATATATACTTAGATAACTAGAGAACAAAATATGGAAATGCATAGAGAATTATGGCATATGCGAAATAGAGCAAGAAAGCCTGATTTGTGTTTGATGACTAGGAATTGGTCATGCATAAAGGAGGGTATGATCCCGGTTCAAGGAACAATTGTGATGAAAGAGAGGGAGAAACAGCATTGTTTTGATAGCATTTAATGGGAAATTATATGATCTTTTCAAAAACATTTATTTTTTCCCTTCATGGGGTTTTTCTGCTAATGGATGAAAATAAATTGGGAAGAGTCTCAGCTGTTGTAACAGTGCATGTAAATTGAGAAGGAATATTATCTGTTGCCACAGTGCATGTAATGCACATGTATGCATCTTGGTTTCTAAACTCCTGTGGTTTTTATAGAGCAGGGGTGTCAAACTCATTTTCACTGGGGGCCATGTCAGCCTCACAGTTGCCTTCAAAGGGCTGAATGTAATTTCAGCTCCTTAACTGTTAAGGAAGTTACATTTATGCAGTCCTAAAATTATTTTGGCCCTTTTTGAAGGCAACTGCAGGGCTGATGTGGCCCCTGGTGAAAATGAGTTTGACACCCCTATTATAGAGAATAGATATATCAAATGAATGGATTTTAATTATCCCATTTAAATTCAGTACTTGATAAGTATCTTTTCACTGATGTGTATATGGGATTGCATGTGAGAGTTGTGCACATCTGTGTATTTAGAAAGGAAGGGGAGGGACAGAAAAAGAGATGTATATTTACAGAGATGTATATATCATTAGCTATGATAGAAACTCAAAAGAAATATCAAGATAGCTATTGCATTTATGTATTATATTTTTCCCGAAGAGTTAGGGGTACTGTACTAGAGAGCCTCAAAACTACCAAAACAGTTGTGGATTGAAAAATGTTTACATCCAAATCATAAGTTGAGAGGACAGAAGAATCAAGTGAAACAAAAGGAAGAGAGAAACACAGGTAAAGGAACCAAAGAGAGAATATTGTGATTTTTCTGTCAGCTTTTTCAGCTTCTTCAGTTAAACCAAAGGACATAAATTATGTGACATAAAGGGGGACTATCTGTAAGAGAATCAGTCTCATAGAGTTCTTGTTCTGCAGATGTACAGCATTATACAGGATAGGGCAGAAGTAGGTTTACAGTTCATATGGAAAATAATATCATAATGAATAAGTAATATAATAATAAACTCAATTTTGTGTACTCACAACTGTAAACCTTTTGGGCTACCCTGTATAGTGTAGTTGGGAAATATCCAGATTTGATGACTTAGTCTGCAATTGACTTAATCTGCATTTAAGCAAAGTGTGTTTATTGTGAGCTTTTAAAAAATTATTTGTTTTTATGTTTTTGGTGTTTAGGCCAGACAGCAACAAGCAGAACTGGCCCAGCAAGAATGGCTTCAAATGCAGCTAGCTGCCCAACAAGCACAGCTTGCTGCTGCCTCAGCCAGTGCATCTAACCAGGCAGGATCTTCTCAGGATGAAGAAGATGATGATGATATCTGAAATTCACCAGCTGAGGTTCTGTTTCCTCTATAAATGTTTCTCTCTGCACAAGAAAACAGTGAAAGAAATGCTTATCTGTAATTTTGTATGCATCTTGGTGGACTGGCCACTGGTATTCTAGGGATGTCTGCTGTTAACTTTCATCTATTGTGTGCTATTCATGTAAAAACTGTCTCTTTGAGCTGTTGAAAATTTAGGCTCAGTATAATATCAATTTTGAATTTTTAATGGTGTTTATGAGATTTTAGATAGCAGTGAGTCCTTTATTGATCAGTAAACAGTGTTAAAGGGAACTTCAAGTTTATAAAAATATAGTGAAATTTATATGGAAATCCTAAATCTGCATTTTTCATTTCCTCTGCCCTTTTAACTAAACTAAAAATTGGGAATTTTAAATTATTGGGTTGGGGGTACTGTGCAATGCATTAGACATTAGGTCAGATTGGTAAAAAAAAAAACAAAGACTTCAGTTCTGTAATAGCTGATTTTTTTGTCTTTTAAAATAAGTATATCTACAGGCCACACACACGTGTGTGGTGTGTGTGTGTGTTTATATATACAGCAACACATATACACTCAGATAAATATATTTGTTTGAAAGAATTTCAAAACAAGACATTCAGAAACTAGGAAGGGGTATGTTCTATGCTAGTTGTATAAATTTGGTGGGTTATATTTTCAATTTTGTTTTTTTGTTTTATGTAGAGATAAAACTACTGTTTTATTATGGCTTAATTCATCTTGAGCTAAACTATCACATTTCAAAGACTGTCCAATTTTGAGGACTGTCATGATTCTTACTACTTCACTCCAATAATTGTCAATAGTATTACTTGCTTAGTCTATTCATGTTTATTAGAACTTGTGAAACAATTGCCTAGGTTCCATCAGTTTAACTGAGGTAAATGAATATTCAAACCTTTGCTGGGGGAAAGAAATGGAAGTTAATGAGCATGCTTGCTATAAAAGAGGATTTTTTTGTAATTTAACTTATAGTTTACTTATTGTTTGTTTTTAGCATTACTCTTACATTTTCTTGACTAGATGTTCTACAGTGTCCAATGCTTCCTTTGAAATGGCATCGTCTCCATCATAGAGCGATAGCTTTAAAAAAATGATTTGTTTTGTTTTAAAAAGCATGTAATAACTAATCAGTCCTATATGAAACATAAAAAGTAGTTTCAATCGGCTCATTAAAAGAGAGGAAGCTTTAATTTGGTTTGTGATTTTTATAGGAATCTAATGTGTTGAAGAAATGGCATCTTGTTTATATTTTGGAAACAGAATGGAAAAGCCACTTATAATAGTATGACAGAATCTGAATTTCTTTGTCAGTTGCCAAATCATTTAAATTTCTATATTCACCAAGCCCAAGGATAGTTTGTGGCTGCCGGGATTCCAATTTTAATTGGAGAGTTAAGTAAGTAAAGTTTACAAGTATTAGATTTCTTAACAATCATATTCTGCAGTTTTAGAAAAAGTGAAATATTGTTATACATTTATTAAATACCATTTCCCCATGCCAGAAAAAGGTTAATTTTGCTGAATGTTTTTAAGTTGAAGTTAATATTCTATCTATGAAGTGTTTTGGACAAGATAGAAGGGATCGTTTTTTTTTAAAGTTTAAGTACCAAAGGTAGTCTAGTCTGAGAAACAATAAGTTAATGAGTGTTGGCTTTTCTAATTTGTACTGTAACATCCTTATACTTGCTATTTTAAGTATATCTGTTTCTTAAGTAAACAAGTTAGATATTTTTCCATACTTTTTTTTTCTGATGCAGAGTTCAGGTTAATTAATATTTTACTGCATCTGATAATGTATTATATGTTTGAAGCCTAGTGACTTTGCATTTGGACATTCTTGTGATTTCATATGCTGTATTCTTCAAGCAATAAAATTCTGATGTGTTTTATAAATTGTTTTTATATTTAATGATCTATACAGATTAGTGGCAAGCTTCTGTTACTAACATTTTTGTTAGTTTCAGGAATCTTAGGCCCAAAAGACATTTTGATCATTTGCTATGTAGTACCTGACTTTCTCCTTTGTTTACTGTTATGTTAGAAAATGGGGTTTTATTTGTATTTTGGTAATTTACAGTCCTAGGGTCCAGGTATAACAGAGCTAATTAAGCAATATTTTACCGTTAGCTTGTTTTTTTAGGATTTAAAAGTCACTAACCTGTTGATATTTTTTAATCATTTAGAGAGTGAAACATCTTTAGCATTCTTGAGAAATAAAGTTATTGTTCAGTGAGTGTTTTCCCACCTTTTTGAATATATATCTGTCTTTTTTAGCACATTGTCAGATTGTTAAATGTTGAAAAGGCACCAATTTTTAAACTGCATATACCATATACATAGAAGAATACACATATAAGGGTTTTCACAAATTTAGCACACTCACATTGCCAGCCCGCAGACCAACACACAGAGCATGATGAGCATCCCAGAAGCCTTCCTCTTGCCCGTCTTAGCATTGTCTTCTTCTTCCTCCCTAGAAGTGACTATATTCAGACTAATAAAACCATGGATTAGATTTGTCTATCTTTTAATTTATGTAGATGTAATCATACAAATCATACATAATATACTACTTTTTGCCTATTGTGTTTGTGAGTGTACTGATTTTCTGATGCCACTGTAATGAATTACCACAAACTTAATAACTTAAAACAACACTGATTTATTTTCTTGCAGTCCTGGAGATCAAAAGTCCAAGTCAGTTTCATTAGGCCAAATCTGGAGGTTATGAATGGAAAATCTGTTTTCTTGCCTTTTTCCAGCTTCCAGTGACTGCGTGTCTTCTTGGCTTATGGCCCCTTCTTAGCGTCTGCTTTCATCATCACATCATCTTCTCTTCTTCTATAGTCAAATCTTCCTCTGACTCTACATTTAGGGCCCACCTCTCTAATCCAGTATAATCTCTCCATTTCAAGATCCTTAATTTAAATCCCATCTGCAAAGTCTTCTTTTCCATATAAGGTAACATCCACAGGTTCCAGGAATTAGGTTGTGGATATATTTAGAAGGCATTATTTAACTTCCAGAGTGAGATTCATTTATATTGTTGCATATATTTACAGTTCATTCATTCTAATTGCTGAATAGTATTCTATTAATTTACCCATTTTTTAATGTCTAAAGTATATTCATTCTACCCTTGATGGGCACTTGAAAAATTTCTGGTTCTGAGCTATTATGAATAATGCTGTGAATAACATTCTTATATAAGTCATTTGGTGAGTATATATATGCATTTCTGTTGATATATACCTGGGAGTGGAATTACTGGGTTATGGGATGTACATGTATTCAGTTTTAGTATTTACTTGTCAGTTTTCCAAAATGTTTGTAAGAAGACACCATTTTAATGTATATCATAATAGTGAATTTCTAATGGTCTAGTGGCCTTAAGAATGTTAAATTATACCAAATGCATTATATTTGCTACAGCAGGTTTGTTCTTATTTAATATTGTACAAGAGGAAAGTAAAAGCAAAAGTATTTGTTCTTGTTAGTGATACAGTAGTATTATGTACTTATTAGGTTATTGCTCCTCAGAAGAAATGCAAGTTTTACATAATCATACATAGTATGTTGAGTTTATAAGTAGTATGCTTAGTTGTGGAAAATTCATGATGTAAAGTTTTAATTGAATTAAAATATTTTCGTTAAAACCTTATTTAGATACAAAGATAAATCTGTGTATCCAAAATGGCCTCCTTGAAGAATTATGCAATTCAGATAGCATGGCGTTGCCTTCCACTGGCTTCACATGGATTTCTTTGGTCTGTTTGTTTTCTTCTCTGTCCCCAACAGCTTGGCCCCCTCAGTGTGTCACCATGCCCCATGACGTAGAGTATCATGGGTAGGACTGACCAGGGTGAAGAGGATGGCAGCATAAATAGCCTCCTCTTGCCTAACCCCATTTGTCATCAAAGCATCAACACTGAGCCTCACTCTATTTCCTCAAAATAAAAGACCTGTCCTTAGCATATGTGTTTAGATTTGCCTTGTTCTATAAAAGATGTAAATAGAAGAGAAAAAATAGTGAAGCAAAGACAATAATTATGATCGGTTTGTACCAGAAATTAGGTAACTTAGTAAAACCTTAGAACAGTGTTTCTCAACCTGAGCATTATTGGCACTTTGGGCCAGTTAACTAGTTCTAAGAGGCTGTCCTGTGCCTTAAGCGAACTTTAGCAGCCCTCGGGGTTTATACCGACTAGATGCCAGTAGCACACCCCACCCACCTTGTGACAACCCCAAAAATGTCTCCAGGCATTGCCAACTGTTTCCTGAGGGGGAAAATCACCCCCTGTTGAGAACTCCCACCTTAGAACATCTAAGTTTTTCTTTTAGGATAGGATATTCGGGGAAAGACTGCAGAACCTCTTTTGGAATGAACATGTGGTATCAGTAGAAAAATACAAAAAGAAACAGAGTGATTTGGAGAGAATAGGCCCAGGATTAAACTGTATTTGCCACAAAATCAAATCTTAAAAGTGGCTCTCAACTTGACATCTGTTGATCCCTTCACCCCATAACACGCCAGTCCCGTTCTTAAATGTCTCACTACTTCTCTTTCACCAGAGATCCTAGCCACACTCAGTTGAAGATGGATCACGTATCCTGTGTCATTACTATGTACATCTTTTAACAAGCATGCTATTTTTTAAAAATTGTTTTTATTGTGGTTTAATATAAAATTTATCACTTTACCATTCTCAAGTGTTCTGTTCAGTGGCATTAGTTACATTGATTTTGTGCATCCATCACCAGTTTCTCCAGAAGTTTTTCACCATTCCAAGCAGAAACACTGTACCCATTAAACAACTCCCCATTTTTCTCTCTTTAACCCCAGCTCCTGGTAACCACTATTCTACAGTCTGTATCTATGAGTTACACTATTCTAGGTACCTCATATGAATGGAATCATGAAGTATGTATACTGTTGCATCTGGCTTCTTGAAAGAAGTGCTTTTAGAGTTCATCATGTTGTAGCATCTATTAGAACTTCATCCCATTTTATGGTTGAATAATATTCTATAGTATGTATATGTCACATTTTATTTACCTGTTTATCTGTCATGAGTTGCTTTCACCTTTTGGCTATTGTGAATAATGCTGCCATAAACATGGCTGTACAAATATGTGTTTGGTCCCGATTGTTAGGGACCATGTCTTTTTGAGTGCATGGATTTATTTTTTAATTATACTTTATTGATTATGCTATTACAGTTGTCCCAATTTTTCCCTCTTTGCCTTCTCAACTGAGCACCCCCTATTCCCTCAGGCAATCCCCACAGCACTGTTCGTGTCCATGGGTCATGCGTGTAAGTCCTTCGACTACTCCATTTCCTGTACTGTACTTTACATCCCCACGGCTATTCTGTAACTGCCTATTTGTACTTCTTAATTCCCTTACCCTTTACCCATTTTCCCCTACAGTGCCCTCCCATCTAGTAACCATCAAAACACTCTCTGTATCCATGATTCTGTTTCTGTTCTTCTTATATACTTAGTTTGTTTTTTAGATTCAATTGTTGATAGACATGATTTACTGCCATTTTATTATTCATAGTTTTTTATCTTGTTTTTCTTAAATAAGTCCCTTTAACATTTCATATAATAATATTTTGGTGATGATGAACTCCTTTAGTTTGTGAAGCTCTTTATCTACCCTTCCATTCTAACTGATATCTTTGCTGGGTAGAGCAATCTTGGCTGTAGGTCCCTGCTTTACATGACATTCAATATTTCTTTCTACTCCTTTCTAGCCTGCAAAAAAAAAAATTTTTTTTTTTTTTTGAGAAATCAGCTGACAGTCTTATGGGAACTCTCCTGTTGGTAACTACCTGCTTTTTTCTTGCTGTTTTTAAGATTGTCTCTTTATCTTTAACCTTTTGGTATTTTAATTATGATGTGTCTTAGAGTGGGCCTCTTTGCATCCATCTTGTTTGGGACTCTCTATATCTCCTGGGCTTGCATGTCTATTTCCTTCCCCAAATTAGGGGAGGTTTTCTTTTTTCAGTATTTTTTCAAACAGATTTCCAACTTCTTGCTCTATCTTCTCCTTCTGGCACTCCTATGAGGCAAAGGTTGGCGTGCTTGACGTTGTCC